CCCCCCTCACACACACACATGAAAGTAGTTGTAGCCGTGGGGGTTGCATCTGCATTATGCGGGATATCAAAACGAAGGAGGTGGAGACGGCTCTGGCGGCGGCGGCTCTTTGTAGTGGTTCAGCTGTGCCACAACAGGACGCTCCAGCACCGCCTTGTACATGTCTGCGCTGTGGAAAAGGCCGGACCACAGCCCCCACCCCATGAAGGACATCCGCGTGGGGCACCCAGTGTGCAGCGGCAGCGGCGTCCCGACGTGCCGGTAGCCGAGAAACGACGGCGGCAGCCGCGGCACCACGTCAGTGCACATGAAGGCGCGAATGTGACGACAGTTGCTTGGTAGAGTGATCGCTGTCTCCTCCACACCGGTTCCTCCCAGCAGCCGGTGCATGTGGCGTCTCCAAAAGCCCTCGCCAGAGACAAAGACACAGGGTGACGCCACAGTCAGCACCGTAACACGTCGCTCAGCCCGTCCATTCGCCAAGTAAACGCCCGCGAGCTGTGCGAGGGCGCCGCCCAAACTGTGCCCGATAAGAGTGATCTGATCAAAGTTCATAGCAGCTTCATCAAAAGCAATAGACTCCAACAAGTCCAGGAAGCCTTTATGCACACGCACCTGCATGCCAAATGATGCAGAGGGCTTCTTTGCAATATACTTGAAATTTGTCCACCAGTTTCGCACGCTATTCGTGCCAATAAACGTGATAATAAGCTGCGGTCGGCGTCCAGGACTGCGACGCGTCAACATGAGGCAGCGTGTCGTCTTGTCAAGATCCACCAGAGGGAGAACGTCAATCTCCGCAGCTATGGTGCAGCGTTCCCTCACCGACTGCTCCGGGCGGAACGCGTCAATAGCCCGCGCCACACGTTGGCGTTGCGTCATCGTCACATCCTCTGGACTTGTGCAGCGCTCCAGCTCGTATGAGAGTGCACATAGATCTGCCACCGCGCCGGTAACATTCGCCTGCGGTGGCACAGGGTGCTCCCGCACGAGCAGCCCAAATTTCTTCCGCGCCTCCTCCACGATGTCGAACCACCCCTGATCCAGTGCAATGGACAGCACGACGCGCAGGACCACCTCTGCTGTCGAAGCCCCTTGTTCAACCCCGCGTGACGGGTCCGCGACGCTCAGCGAGGCGGTCACCAGCGACCTCTCCTCGAAAGTTCCTTCAATCGCCGCGACGGAGCGCAGAATCGTCAGCACATCACCCAACAATGCGTTCCGGTCAGCAGGGCTTAAGGCACTTCCCCCCACCGCGCACAGTTGGTGGTAACGGCGGGCGCACGCACGGCCAAAATCGAGGAGCTCGGCGGTGGAACGCGGTAGCGGCCGACCAGCGACGGAGCTTGTGTCGAGCGCGGCCGACGGCTCGGGGTACCATGCCCAGGACGCGTGGCCCAAGTAGAGCACAACGGCGCCGACGGGCACACCAAGAACGGTGCGTAACGCCTGACGCAGGCGGGCGTGCAAGAAGGTGCGGTACGCAACGGCACACACCTGTGCATACTCCCCTGCCAGCAGCACACACGGCCAAATGACATCGCGAGGGAGCACTCGCATCTTACGACTCACTGTGGAGACGATGGAATGCACCCTCGCGACCAGTTGTGTGCTCATACAGCCGGCGCAACCCAAACGTGTTCCAAGCTAGACCCTTGAATGACTCCTGGCCAGGTTCAGCGAACTACGCGTACACACAAAAATACCCACACACTTCAGACAACCGCATTGAAGCCGTCGCGACCACCTCCCTTCCTTTTACAAAGATGGGCTTCTTCCTAAGAAGAGTGTGATGTGGAGGGACATGACACCGAACACGAAGTAGGGGCCCGACCCCATTCACGTTTGCAAGCAGACACACACACACACACACGCACACGCACAGATACAGACGCATGCATACCAGCGCAATACCAATAACGTTCATTCTTCAAACCCTTCACAATGGAAGAAACCCAAATCGGTAGAGTGTAAAAGCAGCTCCTTGCGATCGGTTAAAACATAACCCAATTTCCTCGCCACTCTGTATTTCCCTTACGGCCTGCAGCTCAGCACAGCTCCCCTTCCCCGGGCGGGGCTGTACCTCAACACTGACGTTGCCCGAGGACAAATGGTTCGTCATATCCAAGAGCGGCACGAGTGTTGGAACAAGACGATATTCTTCGGCGGCGTTATCGTTGCCAAAGACTGCGCCGATGACGGTCCTAAGGCGCTTCAAAATGCGCGTTTGCCGCTCTGCTCGCTCAAATGTGGAGAGAGCAAAGTAGTTTAAGGTCGAGCCTACTTCAGCCGGGGCCAGACCACGGTCCGGAAGCATGTGCATGCGACTCAGAACCGTTCGCCACGCCCAGTAGCAGATTTCGACTGGCGGGCTTTTGCTTCCCCAGCGCTGTACCAGAGTGCGGAAAACAGTGACCCACTCGCGCTGGTGGTCGTCCCATTCAACAAGCTGCATGGGATCAAGCACATCCTTGTGCAACCGCATCACCGCTTCATCATTCACCGCCGGGTGCGGCAGCACCTCAAAGTACGGCGTAAAAAACGAATCCAAATTCAGTCGCTCTCCGGCAATGAGAAGCGCAAGGTGCACTTGCTCCCACAGCACAGGGTCCTTGACACTGCGTGCAGTCAGGAAACGCCGCACGTCATCAAGAGTGGGTGGATTAAGGGAGCGCAGATGCTCGCTTGTAAGCAGCCGATCCGCTGTGATGGCAAAAGTGTGCAGCGGCACAGACACCACTGTTGTCCCCTCGCGGAAATTTCTCGCGGCGATGAGCCCGCGGCTTTGCTCAGCACCTGGACGAACCATTACGCCATCGAAATCAGCTTTGCCTGATTCCAAGAAACGCATAAACGCCTTGCAGCGTTCTTGCTGTTGATCGCTATTTCCCACATTTGGGCGACCGGCCGCAGAAGCATTAGAAGTTGCTGCTGAAGCTTGTGCTGCCGTTTTTGTTGTTATTGTTGCTACCCGAAAGATCAAGCATGAATTCAACATGGCGATACTATTTCCCTTTTCTTTTTTTCTGTCTTTCCCCGTTCTCCTTTTCTCCCCTAATATACCTTTCTGCGGGCGCCCTTCTTTCGACAGACAAAGAAGAACAGGAGTGGAGGGAAGCCCAGTTTGACGGCAGGCAAGCATCGTTGTACAATCCTCCATTCAAGCGTGGTGTAAGGAAGACACAAGATTCGAAAACTCTTCTTTGCTGTGAGGGAGGAACCAATGGCACTTCCCCACCAAGAAAGTTGGATGGTGCATCTATGTAAGCAGGTCATCCACGTGGTTTTTTTTTTTTTGCGGCCCAGAAAAGAAAAACGAAAAAAACTATCTATCGCGCTCATTAGGCAGAACGAGCAAAAATATAAGGAAAATATAAATAAATAAAGATAATAGTTGTTTTTTTTTTTTTCGTGGGAAGGTGAGAGACATAGCGAAAGAGGATGGTATGGATCAAATTCAGCCCATTGGGCCGTTCTTAAAAGTGTCAGCCAACTGCGGCAGCAGGAGGGGACGGTCTCGTAGGCTCTCTGGGGAAGAACGAGAAGACACAATCATTGCGGCCACCAGTGGCTTCATAAAAACTCAGTCTGTCCGTCCAACGGAGCATTTCCTTGCCACAGCACACTGCCCACCGCATCGGGTTCTCTTCCTTCTTCAGCATCCACCTGCGGAGAATGCCGACCGGGCAGTCCGGCTCCACGGCCACGTTGTAGTGGTGACGGGTCTGATCGTATGGATCCACAACGGTGATGCGTATGCGGCTTAAGCTTCTTGGCGCGCCAGTAAGCTTCATTGACGGATGCGGCTGCATGTCGTACACGCCGTGGCGGCGGTACCCGCTTGCGCCACCTGAGGAGGACGCAAAGGCGCGGTTATACCCTCTTAGAGACCCGCTTGACAGGATCGATACGGGACGAGCTGGCAGACTCGGCGCTCCCATCGGAAATCCGCCGGTGCCGCCAACAGTCCCCACTGCCGCACCAACACAGTCGCTTGCGTAACCGCTCTGCTGATCAGAGTGCGGCGTGGCCGCCCGCGTCTCCGTCGCGTTGTGGGACGGCAGCTTCGCGGGTGACGCACGGCCACCGTCGTTGGACACGCACGGGGGGCAGCATTGTGTGGTCGACGGGGCGGGCACGTCGTTGGTTGCCGCGTTGGGCAGAATAGGGGGTTCCGGGAGCAGCGACGGCGGCACCGGGAGTGGCTTCTCGAGGGCGCTTCCCCAGTCCTCGCCTCCTCCTTGCGAGGGAGCCTCCACCGGCGAGCGACTCCTCGTGGAGAGCATCGGCTCGCCCCCTGTGACGCGCACCTCCTCCTCGTCGAACCCGTACCCACGGAGCGTGTGGGAAGAGACCGGCTTTGAGTCGTCGCGGGCTCGCCTTCGGGTACTCATGGAAGAAACAGCAGCAGCAGCATCCCTCCCCTTTTGTTTGAGACGCTGTCCAACGGAAGAAAGAGTCTGCCGCAGCGCTCTCAGCGATCTGCTGCTGGTGCTGCTCGCGTCGGAGTCCTGCCCAGTCGCTGACGAACACCGAGTGGAACTTTGAGTGTCTTTTGAGTCCGAACGCCCCTTGGATTTCGCGGTGGGGCCTCCTTTGCTCCTCCTTTTGCTCTGCCTCGCTGGATCGCTCGACCAGACGAGAGTTTCGCTTTCACTCGTAAGAATGGCGTCCCGCTGCTGCGACGTATCCTCCCGATGTTCCATGCCGTCAGGGGCCGAGGCTGCAACGCTCCCCTCAGCAGTCTCACCCTCCTGCTGCTGCTGCTGCTTGTGCGGGTGCATGACCTTGGCATTCTCCACGTCACTCTCAGGAGCCTTATCCCTTCGCTGCTGCTCTTGCCGGCGCGCTCTGTGCTCCCGCCGCCTATGGTCGCGCGAGCGCAGCACCTTGACCTCTTCTGCGTCACTCTCAGTATTCCCATTTTCTTGCTGCTGCTGCTGCTGCTGCGGCAGCGTGTCCTCCCGATGTTCCTTGCCGTCAGGGGCCGAGGCTGCAACGCTCCCCTCAACAGTCTCACCCTCCTGCTGCTGCTGCTTGTGCGGGTGCATGACCTTGGCATTCTCCACGTCACTCTCAGGAGCCTTGTCCTTTTGCTGCCGCTCGCTGTGCTCCCGCCACCTTGAGTCGTTCAGCCACATAGCCTTGGCAGTCCCCACGCCAGTCCCAAGAGCCTTGTCTCTCTGCTGATGCTGCTGCTGCTCTTGCTGCCGCGGCCGCTGCTCCCGCTGCTCCCGCCGCATCAGGTCGCGCGAGCGCAGCACCTTGACATTCTCCACGTCACTTTCAACGGATTCATCGTATCGTTGCGGCGGCGGCATGCGTTCCTGCTGCTTCTGTCTTCGTGCCCTCTCCTCCCGTCGCCTCGGGTCGCGCGAGCGCAGCACCTTGGCATTCTCCACGTCACTCTCGACGATACCATCATCTTGCCGCTTCTGCTGTGGTCCCTTTTCCCTGTGCTCTGTGCTGACTGGGCGCGGAGCCGCATTATTCTCTGCACAGCTTGGGACAACGTCATCCACGCTCCGGTACCCCCTTCGCCTTGAGGTGTGAACACGTGTGGCCGTGTCACTCTCCCAGTCGCTTGCGCTTGTGTCATCGCTTTCTTGACAGTGATCGTACATCATTGGGTCATTCACCTGCCTCCTGGCAGCCCCGGGTCTTGGTTCGCCCGTCCCATTTGCGGCGGTGTGCTCGCTGGTGTGGCGTGCCTTGTCATTTCGGCCCCTCAGCGGAGCAACAGCCTCTGGCGAGGGTGTGGAGCGCCCCGCACTTGACTTCACTGGCGGGGAGGTGGCGCGAAAGCTGAAGTGCTGCTTCGATGTGGCACGCAACGCTTCGAACGACGCATCCTCATTGGCGATGGGTGCGCCGTCGAGAAAAATGCCCTGGGAGACGTCCAGGCTGAAGAGTTCCCGCAGCGTTCCAACGGGATAGCTGCGGCGAACGCGAAGCCGGCGGGAGGTGGAGGTCGCCGGCGAGGCAAATGACTCCACGAGGTGGGCGGCTTCATTTGCGTCCCGGGTCGAGTCCACCGTGATGATCATGTACTCCTCCGGCGCCGCTGCCGCTTCGGCGTGCATCGCGACCATTCTCTGAAGCTGCACGTCCGCAGCGTTCGGGACCTCACAAGACGGCTCTCGCCGCGCCTCCTCCTGTGATGGGGAGAGCGGTACGGACGCCAGCGCGGCAGACACCGTGCTGCCATCCCGCAGCAGCGGCCGCTGCTGCACAACTGGAGAAATGCCATGTATCGACGCGAGGTCTGCCGTCACCGCTGACGACAGCATCACTGGAGAGAGAGGCAGCAGGACCGTCTGGGGGATGGTGTCGCCGCATCGCGGACAGCGACCATCCTGCAGCAGCACGTACTCTGGAGACACCAGTGTGACGGAGGGGCGCGCGGTGGGGGTGAGGAACTGCGCAGACGTCGCGACGGCCGGCGGCGACAGGCTCGGGGACAGCGACGTGCGGTTGGAGTTGGCGGCGGCGCTTGGCGGGGAGATGGAGCTCGACGGCGAGCGGCACTTCGCATCCACCACGTCGCCGCAACCGCCCGTCTGTACGGCGTCGGCGCCGAAGTGCAGGTGAACGACAGCACCGAGCGGCAGCTTGCTCACTCGCATGCTCTCCGGCAGCGCCTTGTCGCCGAGGAAGAGCGCCGACGGTACGCCGCGCTGCGAGGCGTTTGGCGCTGCCATCTCGGCAATGCTCGTGCGCAGCGACCCGACGCGTGTTGTGGCGTCAACGGGAATGACGAACTCCTTGCCGCATGCAACAACTTTGAGTGACAGCGCGGGGGCGACCTTCTCCATGTCACTCGGTGTCTTCTTGGCAGCGGGCCACGACCACTTCATTGAGGAAATCTTACCTTTTTCGTGTGTTATTAATGGCACCACCTCTTTTCTTTCCTATAGTCGTATATATATATATATATATATATACCGGTGTGTGTGTGTGTGTGTGTGTGTGTCTATGTCTATTGTGTACTGAATAGCGCGACACGACTCCTCTGGTTACTGCTGAGTCTTTTTATCTCTGTATATCCCTTTCCCAGACTCTATATCTACGCAGGAAATTATCTAAAGACCCGAAATCCAAACCTACGCTTGGTCACCAGCAGCCCTCAGTTGTCGTCGCTCTCACACTGCCAAGAAACAGAACGGAGGAAACAGGCAAGTGGCAATAAAGCAGTCGCCATAGGATGACATCGCAGACCGAGGTGAGGGAAATATCACACCGTTATCACAAGGCACTTGCCACCCCACCCACCTTTTTTTTTTCACACGCTCCCTCCTCTTCGCCCCATCTCTCTTTTTTGTTGTCCGAAAGCGTCACAAATCCAGTGGCACTCGCACGCGCCAGACACGGCACTCCCCGCTGGCAGCGGGGGACTCCACCACTGCTGCGCCGCGCCCGTGCATCACCGGCCCGTCACCGTCGCCTGCCCCAGTTGTGGCGCAGCGCCGGTAGTCGCCAAGCAAGGGGAGGCTCTCGATGCCCCACTGCACCACAACGGTTGGCTGCGGCGCCTGCGCGACGCGCCCGAGCCACTCGTGCAGGCCAGCCTCATCGGGGTCGGCCCCATTGGCACCGTCGCAGTTGCTGTACTGCTGCGCGTGCAGAAACAGCGGGCCCATGGGGCTCAGGAGAACCCCATGCACGCACATACTGCGGGTCCGCCAGGAGCCGCAGCTCACCGCATGTGCAAGGCTGGCGTCGTCGTTGTCGTCATCACCCACAACCCCGCACGCCGCCCGGGCGTTGGCGCCAGAGACGAGGCACGCGATGCCATAGCCGTGATGCTGCTCGGCGGTAAAGCACTCCGCATGGAGACCCTCGGCGAGAGCGAGTACATCACTCTCCGACAGCACGCAGTCGCCGAGGAGCACAACGCTGGGGTGTGCTGCGGCGTCCACCGCCTCGCGCAACACCTGTCGCACCGCCATGAGCCGCTCCTGCCTGTGCTCAAAGCCGCCTGCAGCGTCCAACTGGCCAAAGCCCTCGCAGCTCAACGTTACCACGCACACCTCGGCGTTCCCGAAGCCGCAAGCTGAGGCATGAGACCGCAGTCCCGCTGCTGGTTTTGTTACCATTGTCGCCAGGGCAGACTGGCCGTGGTCGCCGTACTCCCGCAACATCTGTTGCAACACGACGAGAAGAAGGCCGACGGACGGCATCCACTCCTCTCCCTTAAGGACGAGATACTGACCGTCATATGTTAAGCCGTATCCGCAATACGTGACAAGCACCTGTTGCGTCACTTTGTGCAGGTGGCACGCTGGCTCGAACGCGTCACGCGCATTGCCGCGGAACAGCCAACAGGAGCGCAGTACGCGATAGGCCTCAAAGACAATCCGCTCTCGGGAGAACTCGGCAACCGTCAGCTCCGGGCGAGCGGATGCAGCAGCGGCATCGAGGAATCGGCAAATATCCTTTCTCCAAGTATCACATGGTGTCTGCTCCACGCGTTGTCGCTTGTTCTGGGGCCTCACGTCAGGTGACGCCCCCCCTGTTCCTGTCGCCGATGTGGCAAAGGGAGGGTCGCATGGCGCCATGCAAGGAAAGGGCGAAGAAGTCATGCAGTGGCCTCCTGTTGCACCCCTTTCTCACCCGTCACCCCCCCCCCCTTTACCGCTCNCTGACCCCGCCGTTCTTCCCTGTGGTGCTGCAGGGGGGCGTGTGTGTGTGTGTGTGTGTGTGTGTGTGTGCGCGTGTGCTCGCTTCGTCCAACAAAAATGCCCTGCGGGGGTGGTGGTGGGGGCGTCTTGAGCACGCAAGCCGACAGCGGCAGCAAGAAGATAAGAAAGAAAGAAAGGGAACACACAGAAGAGTATGGCAACACCTGCGGCGTCACACATTTAGACACCTGCGCCGACACACATATGTATGCATGCGTTATAAACGCCATTGAGACCGGTGTGTCAACCTGCCGCCGACGCCGGAGCAGCTGCAGCTGCTGGCTGCCAAGGCAGTGCACTGTGCTTCCCATACATTCATCCATTCGAAACGGACAACGATCCAAACAGAAAAAAAGGGAACAGAAAAGGAAGCAGGAAACAGAGAAAGGCTCCCTTTTTCTCCCCTCCTCCCGTGCATGTGTGTCCAGGTGTGCGTGTGGACAGCCACAACATCTTTCTCCAACCCCGACCCTCTCTCTATCTCTCTCTCGCTCTTCCACTGCATTTCTGCTCACGAAGAGGGTGAAGCTTTTCATTGAGGGGAGGGGGGAGAGGAGAAACAGAGACACCTGCCGTCTGAGGGCTACATTGCACACCGCTACAACAACACCACACGCAATATTCTTTTCTCATTCTTTTTT